GCGTCATGCCATTCTGAAGGAAGAATCTGCAATACTTGATTTTCTCCACTAGTAACTCGGATGGATTTCAGCACGGCAGTTCCAAAGTAGGAGGCAGCCATAAGCCATCTTTGGGTGGCAAGTTACTATAAAAAGTGTCCTCATGCTCTGGGATGAGCTTTCAAGCAGCCATGACTTTAAGTTCTTACTTAGACGACGTCTGCAGCAAGACACACTTGAGAACGTTTTTGGAGCTATATACGACAGATGCTGGGCTGCTACACAAACCCAAATGTGCATCAGTTCACCTCAGGACTAAAACACCTCCGGATAAAGAAACTTCAAACTGTCGGACAATGAAAACGTAGAGGATGACAAGGCTGACCTCCTAAAGGAGTTGCAAATAGCTTCGCACCATGAAATTTTAATTTCAGACATTGTGGAATCTCTTCCAATTGATAACTTCCCGCCACTAGAGGATACTTCTGAGCTGGCATCAGACATCAGGTCTAACATAATTGATGACTCGTCCACTTTTTTATTACGTTTGGGGCTATTTGATCAAGCGTTTGCTTGAACAGACAACTTACAGCTGTGGCTGTTCACAGCTGCTATCGGATGAGTCCAATAACTTGACCAGGCCACACCAGCACTGTCTTGTTCCTGAAGCATACCAGGTGCATGGAAAATTCTTCGGGAACTTAGTAGCACCATCACAAGCTGCCTTTCATTTCATTCAGCAACTAGAAAATCACTTTCTTCTCATAATATAGAGTGTGACACATGTTCGAGGAGTGTGTGCCGCCTTGTATAGCACACTTTGAGGTCTGGGTGGTTTTAGCCTTTGCCCAGAGGAGTACCACAAAGGGTTTTTAAAATTGTTTTGCAGAATACGCTTGTGTTGACATGTTTGATTGCTTAACTGGAATTTGGACGAAGCTCGGTTGCACTCTTCAGTTGCTAGTGAGAACGAGACAGGTTTAACTGTTAATAGTGTATTAACAGAGGCGGTTGCCAAACCAAAAACAAAAAGTGCTTATTAAGTGGGCAGTGCAGTTGCTCTCCAAATATTTGTTTCCCCTTTTTCCGGCGAATGTGTATCACGGCTCCCTAACAAAAATATTTCTCCACTTTCTACAAAATTTCTATAGAAAATAGTGTATAGAGGCTAAAAATATTTGAAAGAAAATGTATCCACTTTTGTATCCACTATCCATAGTTCTTCAGCCACTTTTTTTTTAAGCCATATTTCTTTTCTGAACAATTTTGGGGAATGTTTAGAACGTTGAATCTTGTCAGATTTCGAATAGAGTTTTCATTGTTTGGTAATGGCTCGCCCGCATTGAGTTTGAGGCTATGCAAATTGGTGTTTTTTTATATTTGCCGGAAATCACGAATATGTACTATTTGGTCTGTGCTTTGCACTGTTATTATACTCTTATGACTGGTAATGATAGCGATGTCTTATTTATTTTTGCACTTACTTCCCGTACCCGAGTCGGCGTGAAAGTGAATGTATCATACAGCATGCTGTCCGTGGAAAGGTTTTGTTAACTTGGTTCCGCTAAGAATCTGTTACGAAGTGTACGACATGCCGAAGTCCTTCATATTCATTTATTTTTGTGAGTATCGATCTCTTTCGTATAAAACATACAGAGCTTCTGAAGTAAATCATGTATACATGAATATGGTCCAATAAAATATGTTCGAACCACTTACTGTTGTTGACCCCAAAATGCTCCACTAGTCAGGAGTCAATGCGGCGGTTGTGTAAACTCAATGCTTTACAATAGAAAAAGAACAAGAAATATATATACTTCTGCTTTGTGAAGTAATTTGAAATATTGTATGACACATTTTGCATGGACTCTATCGTAAAAAATAAAGCAAAAGTGCGTCAGTATTAAAAAAAAAAAAAAAAAGAAAAACAGCGGCTTCGGGAGTCAAGGAGCTCCCGAGAGCCGAGCGAAGCGGGGAGGAAAGAGAGAAAGAAGGGTACCGGAAAACCAGAGCAGAAACGCCCGAACCGAAATCGAAACTAACTTGACCGGAAACGGAATCAGATTATACTTAATACCGCCTGCTAGGAGCGCTAGCTGTCACTGGTCTATCAGGGCCGCTGGGGCCTATGGCAGTGTCCGCTCTTTACCTTGTGTATATTACTCTATGGGCAAGCGACGAGACGAAGATTCTCGCTTCGCGCTATTAGCGTTATGTGACGTCAGAGCTTCAATGTTGCCAACGAAATCACCGTTTAGGCTAACGGCTGGATCAATGTAAAAATCAATTACTCATGCAGATGGGCACATAAAAATCAAACATTACACGGAATGCGTTTCGAGGCAATAACAATGATATTCAATTGTCTTCTGGAACACGAAATTTGACCGGACAATCCCTTTGAAGTTGTGCGGGAGAAAGAATTGCTGTATATTGCCGCGCGCGCAGCTGGCCAAGTAGGCAGCGCGCGCGTGGCCTAACGGTTATCGTACCTGGCTCACACGCGAAAAGCTAGGGTTGGATTCCTGGGAGCGGCGCATCTTTTTGTTTATTTAGGCAGACTAGAAATCTGGTAAATTCGAGAATCATGTTGCGTGTTCGAGGTCTGAATGTTCTACCCGTCGAACATTCTACTCAAATTATTCCAGAAGCTCACGCATGTACAGTGTTAATCCCACTTGTCTATAACGGGCGAGCGTGCGGCTTTCTCTGGGGAGCGCTAGACTGGTGGCATTCGCGGAAACTAGGCTAGTCACGTGGCGCAACATGGAACGGCCCGCTCGAGGGGTGTCCTGCCCACTCTATCAGCTGGTGGCGAACGCGAAAGGCTGCTCGCACGCTTTTTACAAACATCATTGCTCGAACAATAAACAAACTAAAACATGAGGGCGTATCAACGATGTCGTCATCAAAAAACAAAAATATATCATAAAGAGCTTTACTTTTATCGCTTATCAAGCTGGAATAAGGCTTGCTACTACGCAAAAAAAAAAGTATATCAATTGAACGATTTCAACAGGATTGCGCATAGTATCGAAAGAATCCTACAGGACAAAAGCACTGATCGCCGACAATGACACCACGAGTGCCGAAAGACGTCCGAACAAGAATAGTCGGAATGAGCGAAGCGGGGTTGTCCCAGCTGATAAAGTGGGCAGAACACCCCTCGAGCGGGCCGTTCTATGTTGCGCCACGTGACTAGCTTATTTTCCGCGAATGCCACCAGTCTAGCGCTCCCCGGAGAAAGCCGCACGCTCGCGCGTTATAGACAAGTCTGATTAGCACTGTACATAAGGGGCTCCGCGTGGCGAGCGGAGTCAGTTTTCGCCCCAGCGTTCGACTGTGCTGCTACGCCGACTTCGACGCCCCCGACGCTCTGTTATTATAGTTGTACCGTGTTATTTTTTGGCACAAGTTCGCCACATTAAACGTTTATTTATTTATGTTTATTTCCTGTTTTTTTGGTTACCACCCTTGACAATATTAACACTGTTAAGGTGCAGTATAATTCACAACATTTTATTAGTGTATACCATGACATACTAAAAGAAAAACTGCCTGATTTTATTTTTAGATAGTAAAACAGTTGTATTTTCTACCTTTTTGCGTTCTTATTTGCTGTCGATTCCTAACTGGCGAACCAAGTGTAAGACAGAAACAAAGTTCAACCCTCTGATAAACTCATAGCAGCACCACTTCTATTTCGCTATGAGCCTTCTATAAATTATTGTTTTTTTGGCCATTATTTTACCTAAAGTCTAAACATATATATTTTCGAGATGATCTTTGAGGGAGAGGTTTAATTTAAATCAGTATAATAAAATCTTTGTTACTTAAATTAAGATATAAATCGTGACTGATATCTTGAGTTTCATCACCTTAATCTTTATTATCCACCTTGCATATGTTTATTTAAATAGTATTCTCTTTCTTGCTTGCATGCCAGAATGACCCGTTATGACCCGCTAAAATAAAACAAAAAAATGCTGCAACGAGGAGGAGGTATATTCTAAAAGATGCTAGCTACTAAAAAGGCCTTAGAACTCCGTTTTCTGAAAGAAATATTTGGTAGGATCACACTATGGAGGGTCTCACATCTGACTTCATGGAGAAATTCAAACTCAACACTGTAATTCAAAAGCATAATGACAAGAGCTAAATCCTAAAATAATACAATTATATTTGGTGGGCGAATTTTCTATGGCATTCAACAAAACAGCGGGAACACAGCCTCTAAATTGGCATTGTCGCCGCCAAGCAGCCTCAGAAGAACAGAGTGTATAAAAAGTGGTACTACATTCCCAACAAGTAAATGGTTTCATCTAAACTGGAGGTATAACGCCAGTCTGTCAATCGCAAGTAGAAATGGCCCCAAATCGAAACTTAAATGTAATGTTATCAAAATAAAAAGCACTAGTGCGTACCAACTAAAAAATAAATCTTTTTCAACGAGAGCTTTTAGGGACCAGTTTATTTAACAGGAAGGGCCTGTTGCACCTTTCTTGCAAAGCGTTTCACGAGACATGTAATAAAATGTGCATGCTGCTGAGACTGACTGATCAAACATGCTACAGATAAAACAAAAGCACGTAAAAGAATGCCCCGCTGGGTGGTTAAAGCTGAAATTGGCTGACTACACCTCTTTACTGACATGAGTATTTGCTCTACGTTGGCTAAAATGAAGTGTAGTAAGGCTAAAAAAATCTGTTTTGTCAAAGCAGCAAGAAGACATCGCTGAACACTTTCATAGCTGCCTTTTACAAGGCTGATTAGCCTACCGCTATATAAAGCTATAGGTGTTAGAAGTTGAGATTAAATATGGTGTTAACAGAATACACCTAACATCCTATAAAAACATTTCACTACAATCTAGTAGCGACGCAGGAACGTTAGTGAGGCGTTGCAACCTATAGAATTTTAAATCTCTTTTACGTGTTCGCTAGTATAGGCCTTTCATAAGGACCACTCCCTATAACTCGTCCTTGAGTACGTTCTTAATGTTTGATGCTGCTTTTGTGCAGGCGCTCACCCTGCACAGTGTCACGGTTCATGCGGCCATGCCCGGTCACCTGCCTGCTGCTGCTCTTCATGCTGGCTGCCCAGTACTGCCGCGCTGAAGACGCCTCCCCAGCACAGCTCCAGGAGAACGACAAGCGGCGCCCACCGGCAGCCATGTACGGCTTTGGCCTGGGAAAGCGCGCCCCGTTTCTCTTCCTGGCCGATGACGCCGCCGAACAAGCAGCGGAACGAGCCGAAGCCGAAGACGAAGACCCGGACCTCAACTACCTGGACAAGAGAGGCGAGCGTCCGCAGCACCCGCTGCGCTACGGTTTCGGCTTGGGCAAGCGTCTGGACCGGGACGGCAACTACCCGGGAAGCATCGACCACAACCGAAGGGAGCGCCACCGGTTCGGCTTCGGTCTCGGCAAACGGGGGAAGAAGTCGGAGATCGAGGACTTCATGAAGCGGAGGTACAACTTTGGCCTGGGCAAGCGCAGCGCCTACGGTGGCGACGACGGCGAGCGCTGGAAGAGGAGCCTCGCCTCGGATCACAACTAAAACCGAAACCGTCGTTCGCGCGTTAGGCCTCGTTAGGCCTACCTAAGCCTGATCGGGTCTGACCGCTGCTAGGCCTAGCAGGCCCTCCCCTCGGCTTGGCTTGTTATGCACGCTCTTGGCCAGCCCTAATGAATGGATCCTCAATTTGGTTCAATATTCTAAGACGTAACCGCGTTCGACCTCTGACTAAGCCTGGCCTACGCTGGCTAGGCTTCGGTGGTCTAGGTAGGCCTAACTAAGCCTAACCGAGACTGTGTGTGTGCCCCGCTAGGCCTTGCTTCTGTTGAGCCCTTCCTGTCCTATTTTTTGCCCTCGGTTTGATCCAGTTTGTTATCTCCAAAGACGAGCCGATCTGGCAGACTCGCTAACTCGTCTTAGCTAATAGTGTTGGAAACTGCACGCGATAAAATGTGAACGCGCGAACGTTCGGTGAAAAAAAAATATTCAGGCGCCAAGACGCTCCAAGGTCTCAAAGCTATACCCCCGAGCGTTAAGTATTCATGAATGATGAACGCTGGTTTGAGAGTGTGTGACTTAGGTCGAATTCAATTCTATAAATTTAAAGTTGCGTTCTACTCAGTCATAGCTACGTGTTTGACAATGCTCGCGGCTCACAAACCAGGTCATCCAAGATCTCAACAAGACCACAGTGACTTCAGAAGCACTTGGTTGTTCGTGGGAAAGGCAATTCAGATTGTCTCAATTCAAGAAACAATACAGAAAACTGTGTAATTCGTTGCTTGTTGAATCGCGAGCGTCAACCCATGCACACGGCACTTCGGTACAAAGGAATCCCCGCCCTCCATTGTTTATCCTTCCGAAAAGGATTGAAAGAATGTAAAGAAGTTACCTTTATAATTTAGAAACATAGGGACCTGTCTCCCAACAAGTTATACTTCTTAGCTCCCAAAGATTGGAATGACGACCTGTACCCAATATTTCACTGTAATGCATATTGTAAAGTGTGATCTGTGGATCCCAGAACATTTTCTTTCAGTTTGATTCCTTATTTTTTTCCAATGCTTGGCTCAAGAGGTTAATTAGTAAATAACAAAAGTGGGTGAGAACAAAAACTGGTATCACGCGAAAATAAACGCGATAGCAACAGTTCATATTGACCTTGTTTGTAAATAAATGTGAAGGAGGATTCGTCACTTCTGAATTGTTCTTTTCTTCTTAACGGCCGAAAGTGACGCGACAATAAAAAAGAAATGTCAACCGGTGTAGGCCTCGTCTCTCCTTAAGCGACATACTTCTGTGATTGTAAATAAACCTTGTTCTCTCGTCAATGCCAAAGGTGTGTCTAATGCTGGTTTACTTTCGAATGCCACGCTCAGAAATAGGGACGAACATGTAATTATCCGCTGGTGACGATAGAAAGCCAAAATACCTTTCCCAAAAATCCCAGAGTTCCACGCAAAACGCGAGCAACGAATTATGGGAAAGTTACTTTTGTTCATCCTTGCCACCACAGTCCCTATCACGTCACCCTAAAGAAGCCGAGAAAGATGCAGGGCAGTTGTTTTTCTGGCGTCGTCTGCTCGCCTGCGTTTTTCTTCCTGTATTTAAGATCGCCTTCGTCGCGTGCTAGAGTCGGTTCTCTACAGGATCTTCCTTGCAATATATCATATGGGGAATGCACATCGCCGTCTAGTGGGGCGCCGAGGCGTATGCTCGGCCTTACAAGTTGGCTTCGGCGCTGGCAAAAGCCAGGGCGCTGAAACATAGTTCTGAGGAATCCTTCGCTCGCACAAACGCTCGCGCAGAGAAAGTGCTTTCGAAGACCAGGCGTCCGCGTCTTTGCCGGTACATAAAGCCAAATTTCAATCAGATGTTCCGCCATGTCGGTTGCGAGAAGAAACCAGCGACCGGCGGGCTATGAGCGCGTGCATGCGTAAGAACAGAGTAAAACGAAACTAACCCTTAGCTCGCACCTTAGCTCTCAGGTGTGGTGTGAGGACCGATGACTGTGAGCAGCAGGCCTCGATGGCAACCGACAATGCTGCAGAATTGACAAACAGCGTAGGAATCTCGAAGCAACAAAGATGGGAACTTACAGAGTGTTGCCAGGCGTACGAACCGCAGAATGCTCAGCACGAGTTGGAACAGGTTTGTAGGTGCAATCAACAGCTGGAAATTACTTTTAAACAGGACGCCAAAAAAGCACCGTCCAGCTCCGAAACACGACCCTGCTTTGGAAAATAAGCACCACTTTCAATTTTGTTTTGCTTGCGCTGAAATTCCATCATGGAGGCCAGTCTGATGGCAAACCGCGTCTTCACACACACACACACACACACACACACACACACACACACACACACACACACACACACACACACACACACACGCACACGCACACGCACACGCACACGCACACACATACACAAACACACACGTATACATACAAACATATATATATATATATATATATATGTATATATATACATATATATATGTAGATGCTTGCACACATGCCAGATTACAGCCGCAATTGCTGACTTTTCTATTGTACTCAGAACGTGAGTGCTCAGATGGCACTCACGTTCACTGAGTAGAGTTTCAGTATAACGTATAAAAGCAAACGAAAGCGCTGTTTCTTTGGCGCTAACGTTTCGTGCGCCACGCTGCGCGTGCGCATTGTCACCGTGCGCCAGTCCAAGAGCGCGGTTTGGACTCCGCGCATACACAGCGTTGAACACGCAACACTAACACTAATTCGGACAGTGCTTGCGCTCGCTCCTATACGGAATACCTTAAACGCACCTGTCAGAACACGCTTCCCAGACTAACTCAGCTGTAGCTTCGAATCCAACCTGTGCCGGCGTCGGCCTCTTGTATGTGACGTAAAAAAATGTAGCAGTATGGACTTGGTACCTTGAGAGTGTTGTAGAGATATATTTAATAATACGTAAATACCTTCAGTGTCGGCGGACAAATGCAGAGCTGTGGAGTGGTACCACTGAAAGCGTGTGTCGTACGAAGGACATTAGACTTTTGTGCTCGGCACGAGTCTAAGATATTCGTTAGAGTTTTCGGTGCTTTCATTCTTTCAAAACCGGCGAAGTTTACGTGTACCTTTTTAAAATGCTTGGTATATCGCCAACTTGTCTTGTTTGAGCCCCAAAACAATGATTATCGAGGAAAAACCGTGGGTAAAAATGAGAGTTCTAATTTTATTTACAGTGTGTATGTACATAATATAAAGCTCCACGCTTCTCGTAATGCGAACGACAGAACTGTTAACCAGAAACAACGAGTCTAAACCCGGGTCATAGTCCGAGTACTTTGTAACGCAATCACTCGGAGTTTATTGTTGCCTTCGTATCCTGCTACGTCTCTGCTTAGTGGGATGAAACCTTTCACTTGTTCATAAGCAAAATGTTTCCGCAATGAAGAAGCCGAGTTCTTTTGACCCCTTCACGAGATTCAATCGATAACGACCACCAGAATACACGAACTCATCTCTGTTACGTCACGGCGCGGTGGTGGCGCGTCGGTAGCACTTCCGGTCTGGGGCTGTGGGCAGAAGTCCCCATGCCAGGCGTGTATTCCTGCGTTGTTTTAAAAGGAACCAGACAAAAACCTGGCTTCTCGTCAAAACGCCGAGACTGCATGGGGCCGTACCAAAAGAGTCAAGAAAGGTTTAAAGGTCAGTTTTCACGTGCTCGGTTTCTCCGAGAATCTGGATATGTGCTGTGAAAAGGGAAAAGCAGACACCGCCGGACAATGATTGCTTGGGCGGGAATCACTTTGGGTTGAATTCACGGATACTTGGGGTCATCAGATTTATTTGGTTTGTTCCAACATGAACGCCAAAAAACCGCCAAGTTGTGCGGACCACCTGCGGACTACGTTCAGTGCACCTTCAAGTTCAAACGGCCGTCCTATCGTTCGAACTGTCGTCTGCTCTTTCAAACGTTTCTGCTTGTCGTCTGCTCTCTAGACAACTCCGACCCGTAAACCAATTGTTGGCCCGGTGCTTGCGATTAGAAGTAAGTGCAGGCCTTAGAAGACTTAAATTTGAAGGTTGGTAAGCAGGCTCCATGTAAACAGTAGATACAAGAAGATGTTGATCATTGTTACCAGTAACCATCACCGACTTTTTATGCCTAAGTCACTTGCTCCGATTCTGCTTGCGATTTTTCAGTATCGAGGTCGACGATCTCAGCTATTGTTCACGCTTTTGCAGCCCAAGCGGCGTCGCGATTGAAAATTGCGACCGAAATCGTATCATGCGAATCATGCTTTAGGTACATACTGCGGCGTCCACGCGGAATGAATCACCACATGTCACATTATTCACGCGAAGTTTTGCGGTATAACGAGCCTCGGTAATTTCGCTGATGCCACTCAAGTAGTCAGACATAGGGTGCCTCAATGACCTTTTGTTTAGAGTGATGCCACCCTTTGTAGTACCCGATGCCGACAGCACGCACTCACGAAGAAAATACAAAGAAATCGACGAAAACAAAATGTCGCCATAGCACAGTCAGCGCCACAGACGCGTGCAGGGACACGCTCTTTCACGCGCTTCTGAAGAAAAAATAAATGTAAAAGTGGGAACAAAATGGCCAGGTGTCTCCACCCTAAACAAAGCGCACATGAAGGCACCCTAGTCAGACATTGCCAGGAAGGCGTAGAATCAACAATTCAAACGCGAAAAAGGGCAGAGGGACTCACACCGACACCGACAACATCGCATTCCAATGGTTTGTTTATGGGCGACGGCGAGCTTCTTGCCCACACCCCCATCGCGCATGCGTGGCGCCCATGGCGTCCGCTAGGGGCGCTCCGGTTTGTTTGCAAAAATGAGTGGGTGTATATTAATAATAATAATAATAGTCTTTTATTCCTTTGAAAAAACACTTACAATAACTGGCCCACAAAAGCAAAGAAGATTGCTTGTCCGTGGGACCAGGCAGACCAAAATCTTTACAAAATAAAAGGAATAGAACACAGTATTGCAAGTAGCACTATAAATAAAGAAATTAAACAGAATTGTAAAACACAGCAATATTTGCGCCATGTAAATGAAACTACTCTCCATATGAACATCAAACAAATCTCCGAACACTGAAATACTAACAAATTCTAAACACTGCACGACTCATGTGAAACATACCAAAATAGACAACAATTGAACATCAACATCGCATAACACAGAAATGACTCAGGAAAAAACACACTAAACAACAGGAAAATCAGAAATGACTCAGGAATAGCTCAGAAAAAAAACACAGAAATGACTCAGGAAAAAACACACTAAGCAACAGGGAAATCATATTTTACACGCTAGACACCACTTTTTAAGAGCTTTCTTAGCCGTTCGCATGGATGATATACTAATCAAATTATCGGGTAATTTATTAAAAAGGGAAGGAATATAATGCCTTTTTATTCTCTTTCCGTAGTTCGTAAATACTTTGGGTATTACGTACCTTTGAGTGCACCTCAAATTTCTCTTTTTGACCTCAATTTTTTAGCTTTTATCGTAGTAATGCCGTGTTAATATTACATATTCATACAGTTTAGAAAAAGACATTATATTTAGTTCATTCATTTTCATATCTATTACTAGGTCATTATATCTGGTTCCGTACGCAACGTTACTCGCAATTTGTTTAAGTAGTCTATCTGTTCCTAGTTTTTTTATTTCCTGCACATTGTCTGAAAAGAGTAATACCATATCGCAAGATCGACTCTCCTAAGGCCATAAAAACAGTTTTACAAATGTTTACACCACAAACGCTCTTTAACCGGTAAAGATACGCTGATACTACGCGAAGCCTTTTTTTAGTAAATTCTATGTGATGGTTCCATAAAATATATTCGTCAAAATATACGCCTAAGTACTTTACAGGCTGTTCGTACGGAAGTGCTATACTTTTACAAGAGTTGCCTTGCCCTGAATTTAAATAAATGCCTGCCGTAAGCTTCACCTGTTTATGGGGATTACGGAAACACATAAGTTTCGTTTTGTTGTTATTTACTGAAATAATATTGTCAGAAAACAACTGCAATAACATGTCCACGTCCTTTTGAAATATCGGAATTGCTTTTTCGTGTATGTCATATGGTAATAGTAGAACCGTATCGTCCGCATATGAAAAGATTTTAGACTGTAGCGGTAAAAGACTTAGCTCATTTATGTAAATATTAAATAACAACGGGCCCAAAGTGCTCCCTTGAGGTACACCGCACTGAACCCGAGTTTTATCACTTACACAATTTTCTATTTTCACCAATTGAAATCTATCTGTGAGGTAGTCATGGAAATAATCATAAAAT